ATTACCGAGACTGTTGTAGCTTGCCCAGGGGCAGACAGACGTCAGGCTACCACCAGGCAAGTTTACACCCATGTGCCAATCAATCCAATAGACTTAGCAGCTTTTAAAACACAGGCTGGGGAATTCTCCATGAACCCAAGCAGGTTTATTTCAGTCTTTGAGGGGTGCCTCAGTAGTCACAAGCCGGATTGAGACAATTGTAATATCCTCCTGAGAACTCTGTTGTCTGAGGTGGAGCGGAATCAGGTTACAGCTAAGGCAAGGGGAGCGTCAACTTTCAAGCGAAAGAAAGGAAGCTGTCTGTCAAGTCCCTACCCCAAGCATTCGTAAATGGCTCAGAGCTTTTCTGGGTATGGCAGGCTTTTCCAGGATCTGAATCCCAGAGTTTGGACTATGGGCTAAACCCCTGTATGACTGCGTAAAAGGAGCAGATCATGTCCCCTTTCACTGGACCCCAGAGGCTGACAGGGCATTTAAAATCTTGAAAAGGAAGTTGATGGAAGCCCCGGCTCTGGGCCTGCCGGATCTCTCTAAGCCGTTTGAGTTGTATGTACATGAATGAAAGGGGGTGGCCCTAGGAGTGCTCACACAGCTGTTAGGAGCATGGAGATGTCCCGTGGCTTATTTTTCTAAGCAACTGGATCAGGTTGCAAAGGGTTGGCCGGCATGTTTACGGGCGGTCGCAGCTACTGCCCTAGTACTTGAGGAAGCTCAGAAGCTAACATTGGGAGGGATTATGCAAATCTATACTCCCCATATGATTCGAACCTTATTGGATGCAAAGGGAGGGCTTTGGCTCACCCAGGCTCGGATTGCTCGGTACCAGGCTAAGCTGTTAGAGAACTCTGAAGTCACCTTAGAGCCTTGCCCCTCCCTTAACCCAGCCACCCTCTTGCCAGAAACAGAGGAACAGGAACATGACTGTTTAGAGATCATAGATGCCCAGTAATGCAGCCGTCTGGATTTAAAGGATGTACCCCTCCCAAATGCAGATTATGAGTGGTACACTGATGGTAGCAGTACTGTAATAGATGGGCAAAGGAGGGCGGGTTATGCTGTTGTGACCCTCCATGACACTGTGGAAGCTGAAGGTTTGCCTGCTGGGACCTCTGCCCAGCTTGCCGAACTAATAGCCCTGACCCGTGCACTTGAACTGTCAAAAGGAAAACGGGTCAACATTTTTACTGATTCAAAGTATGCTTTTGGTGTGCTGCATGCTCATGCTGGCCTATGGAAGCAAAGGGGAATGCTGACAGCCCAAGGCTCCCCAGTCAAGTACGGGCCCCAAATCCTCCGGCTCCTAGAAGCCGTACAACTTCCCGCAGAAGTGGCGGTGATACACTGTAAAGCCCATCAGAGGGAGGATCAAGATGCGGCCAAAGGTAACGCCCGGGCAGATAGAGAGGCTAAGCATGGTGCCACCCTGCCATCCCCTCAGACTGAGAACGCCCATATGCATGCCCTTATCCCATCAGTAGGGGAGCTTCCAACCCCTCAGTACTCTGGGGAGGAGAGACAGCTAACTGACAAACTCAGTCTCCGGGAGAAGGAGGGATGGCTCCATTCCCCAGGAGGGAAGGTCCTCTTACCTAAGGGCCTGATCCGGCCAGTGCTGCAGAAACTACATCAAACCACTCATGCTGGCAGGGAGGCACTTATCCAACTAATGGGAAAATACTTTATCACTTCCGGACTCCGACCCCTGGCTGCCCAGGTACAAGCGGACTGCTTAGTCTGCCAAAAGAATAATCCCCGACCGGGACATCCTGTGCCACCAGCTGCCCTAGAACCCACTCCGGGCCCCGGACAAGTGTGGCAAATAGATTTTACTGAGTTTCCCTGGACCCAAGGGTTCAAATATCTCCTTGTTATAGTGGATTGGTTCAGCGGATGGCCAGAAGCCTTCCCATGCCGTAATTGCACTGCCAGGACGGTGGCCCTCAAGTTTGTTAAGGAGATCGTTCCTCGCTTTGGACTCCCCCTGTGGATGGAATCTGACAACAGGACACACTTCACGTCAAAAATCATTCAAAGCATCTCACATGCCTTACAGATCCCCTGGAAACTCCATACGCCCTGGAGATCGCAAGCCAGTGGGGTAGTGGAGCGTACCAATCAGACCGTTAAACGGCATCTCTCAAAAGTGTGCCAAGAAGCCTCACTGCGATGGCCTGATGCTTTGCCCCTCGTCCTACTCCGTATCCGTGTTCTCCCAAAGGGTAGATTAGGGCTTAGTCCCTTTGAAATTATGTTTGGAAGGGCATGGCCTATGAATGGCACCCCGGTTCTGTCAGGGGAATGGGAGTTGGGTAATGTTTTTTTGTCTCAGTATATGTGTTCCCCGTCTGCTGTTCTCTTGTCTCTTCACAGGTATACCAAGGATTCCCAGCCTCTCCCCTTGGACTCTCCCGTCCACTCCTTACAGCCTGGCGACTCCGTGCTTGTTCGTACCTGGAAAGACGAGCCTCTCCAGGAAAAGTGGAAAGGACCCTATACCGTCCTGCTGCTCCCCCATACAGCGGCAAAGATCGAGGGACACAAGAACTGGATCCATCACTCTCGTCTGAAGGCAGTACCCGCTCCCTCGTCAGCAGAACAGTGGACCATCCAGCCTGCTGACTCCTCATCTAGTGACGATCTCGGGCTAAAGCTACTGTTTAAGAGACACAAATAGCGGATCCCTTAACGCCAAAATGGGCCCACCCAGGTCCTGGAGACCCTGGGTTGGGAAGACTCTGGTGATAATTAATTGGGTAACATTGTTATTCTCTGTATTGGTATTTCCAAACTGTGCATATTGGGAGCATAACTCCTTTGTTTCGCTTGCGCACCATGTTGCTACTTTAACAAACCAGACTGATTGCTGGGTATGTGCTCCAACTCCACTGTCCCCCAAAACGGGAATGCCCCTTGACATGCTGCCCCTGACCCTAGCAGAATTAGCCGCCACCAAAGAGCAGGAAAGAACGGACTCGCCGTTCTGGAAGAAGACCTCTTTACAGCAAGCCACCTATCAGGACCAGGAGTATTCAGTTGCAGTACTCACTGAGGGAGTGTTATGTTTTACCCGAAACCAATCTGATCACTATGGGCGTCCTGTGGAAAAAAGCTCCTGTGTTATTACACAGTGGGCTGATGGGTATTGGATAAAGACCGAAAGGGGAGGCCAGCAGTGTGGGTGTAATGGTTCCTCCCCTTTTAGGGAAACTCTTATGAATAATCTTACCACAAAAGAGGGGTTTGGAAATATAACTTGCCGTCCAGTTAATATCTCCAATGTAGCAAGCCAATGGTGGGTTTGTGGTCCCTATGGCGAGTGTAATTTGAACGGCACAATTAGAAACACTCCCACTTGTACCCAATCAGGAGGATGGGATGCCCCCTTAGGGGCATATGAACTGTTTGGAAAAACAGCCTTAAATATCCCAGGAATCCCCTTAAGAAACAGTCCTTACTGAGCCCTACAGGGTCACTATTTTGTATGTGGCCGAAAGGCTTACAAGGTGCTGCCAGCCAACTGGACAGGTAGCTGTTATATAGCTCATGGAGTTCCTCATCTGTCAATAACTGCCACACTGCCCAAAGGAAAGATTAGAAATGCCCGAAATACCTCTGTTAAGTCCTGAGACAAGACCCTGCGGCCACTGACTACGGCATTGGAGGGCAATATGAAGAAACCCCTCACAACCGAGAAGCTTGTAGGGTGCTCTGTACTGGGAATAGCACCACTGTTTACTGGACCAGCCATGACATGCATAGGCCGCTATACTGTAAGGCTGCAAATGGTACTTGAGAAAGTGGCCTTAGAGTTAGAGGACTCGGTTAGTGATTTAGGGTCAGCAGTAAAAACATTAAATAAAGAGGTACAGCAGCTCAGGACGTTTTCCCTCCAAAACAGGCTGGCTTTGGACTATCTCTTGGCATCCCAAGGAGGGGTTTGTGCCCTCGTCAGGCCCCGATGTTGTGTATATGTAAATGATAGCAGTTATGAGATCTATGAAAAGGTGGTACAGGCTGAGGCCCATGCCCGAGCCGGAGCACAGGTTGCCTATACTGACCCCGAGAGTGATTGGTTGCAAACCTTGTTTTCAGGCTGCGGTTTGTCGTCTTGACTTGGTGGTTTATTTAGCCTGTTATTGAAACTTCTCTTTCCTGTATTGCTTGTATTAATGGTGTTATGCTGTGCAGTATCATGTGTCAGGACCCTTTTGCAAAAGTTAATAAGTCATTCTCTTCAGGGCTATCACAAAGTGCTTATGCAAAGTCCTATTGTAAAGAAATAAGTAGCCCAAGTGAGAAAACTCAGAGCCAAGGCTGTTGAGTGTTCTCAAAGGAGGGAGTAGTTGTTGGGGACACTGGGGCATGGCCACTAGGTAACTCAAGGGGATGGAAGACCACGAGTGTCGATGAAGCCCCCTCGCACTAGGCCCAAGTGTCCTTGGCCCCCCTCCCGCCTGGAGGCACTCGCAGCAGTTATGTGTGCTAGGCCCAAGTGTCCCTGGCCCCCCTTCTTGGAGGCACTCAAAGCAGTTATGCTGAGGATCTGCAACAATATGTTGCAGAGTCAGACTGCCTGAAACTAAACAAGACCAAACAGGGCAGATATGAAAGAACAATGCTGAATAAAGCAGCTTTATGTATGGTTTAACAGATGGTACAGAAAACAAGGGAAATAGCTGGTAACTGGATTGGCTGTCTATATGGCTACTTAGGGCAGCTTGCTATGGGATAAGTACGCTGAAGAAAGGATGTATAAAAGCCTGTGTAACTTCCTGCTCTGTGTGCAGGATTTGAGATTCTGTTCTCCCTGTACCTTCTTTGCAGCTGCAAATAAACTTTTCAGCTTCTCCACCCCGTTGTGATTATTGGGTGACGCATACCGGGCAATGAACCCCTGCTGTTGTTTGCCTCTGGCACTGGGTGCCGGCAACAGCCTGACTACATCCTTTGATGAAGACATTGACTTTTGTCATAGAATTTTATTGTTTTTTTCTTATGAAAATACAAAACAGAATAGGATACATTTACCGGGCACATGACTACATCTTAGCACATGCCAATCCTTTTCACCTTGTGCTTTAAATTAAATAACACTTTAAACACTACAGAGAATGCAATTGAAATCCATTGTTTCCATCACCCCAATAGAACAAAGGTCCACCCGCACCCTGCCAAGATGACCATTGTGCAGGATTTTTTAAAGAAATAATAAGCCCGAGCCTGCACCAGTAAAAGTCAACGGCAAAATTCCCCTCTGATTTCAGTGGTGGCGGATTGGGCCCAATGTGAGCTTGCATTTGCTAAGAAACTGCAACTGTTTAAAAAAATTACTAGCCTGTTATTAGCTGAAAGTAATTCAAAAGTTCCGCCAACACGCTGGCCAGTTAGCTGTCCCAAGAACTCCCTAGCTGCCTTATCCTGCACAACATGGATGCTTGCAGCCCTGCGCGTAAAAATGACACTTAGCACAGCTAGGGGCAATCAACTCTGCCTGGGTGAGTGTGGACTGGATAAGGGGGCATGGCCAAGAGGCTAGAGCACCGTGTGGGAGGGCAAACGTGCTAGCAACACCTGCTCGACAACTACCCTACTTCTAGAGGCATTAGGCTTGCTCCTGCCCGGTGCAGACCACACCTAAGGGTCACTGCACCCACCCCTGAAATGGAAGGAGCCAGCTGTTTCGCCACACACCGCAAGGCACCGTTACAGTTTCGATCAAGAAAGGAGGACTAGCCATTGCAGCAGATGAATGCCCTATACAAACAGCTGCAGGAGGCATGTAGGGGGCAGAATCTAACTATCTGAGACAGCATTGGGCCAGGACACGGGAACTAAAGCCCCTTCTCTCACAAGAAGTGTCATGGGATCTTTCAGTGGCCCAGACCTCAGTTTTAGGTCTGCATGTCTCACATCAAAGTGCCCCTTAACAGCCTCCTGGGTCATTAGTCCAGTACTGGCTTAGTGGGAAGAGGGAAGACAATAGCTGCTCAGTCCCCAGTCCTCCTTCCTGCAGTATCTAACTCCAGCTAGTCTCATTGCTGACTCAAGCCTCCTTAGGTCATAAGACTGGATGCTGAAGGGAAAAAAAAACCAATACAAGCCTCATCAGGTATTTATACAAGTGACTTCTGTGATGAAGTCCGTGATCATTGCGTTAAGCCCCTCCTTGCTAAAACACCTAGAGGACACAGTTTTGAACTGAAAGCATCTATCAGTCCCAGACCTCGCTTACGTTCACTAAAAAGGGGCGGGTTTGGAGATCAGTAGCCTGCACTCTGCATTTGCATTACATTTCTAAAAATATGGACAATAAAAACAATAGGCTAGATTTTGTATTTAAAGGACTATCCTTTGTACATCATTCTGACAACCGATGGGTTCCTCTTCCCATAGGGCTAAATTCGCCCCCTGTGCATGAAGGCCTATGTACTTCGAAATAGGGCTAAAGTAATGCATTAGTCACTGGGTACTGGCCCTCTGCACAGGGTTGAATTTCACACATAAAACTCAAGTATAAACCATATCTGATCACACTCTGAATCCCTTGTACCAAGTTACCTCCAGCCCCTGCTACAAAACTAACAACCAAGGGGAAGGGAACTGGTTAGGTCCAGGGACATCCGTGCTAGGAACTGGTTAGGTCCAGGGACCACAGCTGGAGGAGAGATTTGATTCGCAATGAGTCCAGTTTTTCAATGTGGGTGCTTAAAGTTAATCCCCTGAATCCATAGTTAGATACCTTAATTCTTGTTTTAGCCAATTTTTCACAGGTGCCAACTTGCAGGTGCTCAGCATTCTGTGAAAATTAGGTCACTAAGTGCTAGAGTGACCAGACAGCAAGTGTGAAAAATCGGGACAGGGAGTGGGGGGTAATGGGCACCCTATATAAGATAAAGTCCCAAACATTGGGACTGTCCCTATAAAATCAGGACATCTGGTCACCCTACTATGTGCTGATTCTTAGTTGCCTAAGGTGGGTGTTTAGCTGCCTACATCTGGATCCAGAGGCCTAACTGTAGGCAGCCACATTGGAAAACTGGACTCAAAGCGGTCAGGTCCGGTAACAGTTATTGGCATGGCTGGCCCTTGAAGACCGGAACAGCCAGCAACCAGTTGAGTGACAACTCAGGTATCACTCAAACAGAAGCGAAGCAGAATGGCACCACATGGGGACCCAAAGTGCAGGGAGCGAAGCAGCAGAGAGGTGACAAGAGCAACGTTTGGGGCGAGGATCGAGGGGGCGTAACATTCGGCTTGACAGCAGCTTGGTTGGGATTTTAGCTGGATCGTGCCAGAATGGAGCTATTTCAATACCAGCTCAGAACCATGCCTTTGACACCGACTGGCAAACAGCGGCTGAGTTCTCTACAACTGCTGTTACCTTTGCATATAATGATGCAAGATAAAAGACAAGTAACTCAAGTTTCCTTAGTGTCTCTCTACCTCAGCCCATTTGCCTTGCATTGTTTTTTGGCATAGTTCAGTATAAACCTGATTCGTGCCAGGTTTAGCCTCCCTGCTCCCGCTTACAGTAATGTCCTAGAGTCCACCTAACTAGCAGTAGAAACCCAAGTCCATGCCATGAAGGATTCAGACGGCTTCCATAGCATATTCACTAGTTCGAGAGCGCTGCTGATTAAAGAGCAAGCCGTGTACCATTTCTTTAGCTGACTCTTCAGGGCAGTCTTTGGGCTTTACATACATCCATACAGCAGCACTGCAAATACCCAGAATGCTCACCAGCAAAGCAAGTTTGAGGATGTGGGTTTGGGATGCAGGCAAAATGCTGGACGCCAAGGGACCATCTGAAGGCCCCTCTGCTCTGTTCTGAAGTGTGAAGCTTTTGAAGGAAAGCTCTGACGTTTCTGCAGGTGAAATGGATTCAGGAAAAGCGCGAGAAGGATCTTTCTCTCCTAAAGGAGATAAGTAGCTACCTGTGTGAGCATCAGCCATAGAGTCACTGACAGCATCTCTTTCATCACCACTGTTTGGACTGACAGAACTACTTTCTCCTCCAGGAGATGTGGGGTGTGGAGTGGATCCGTTGGTGGTATCACTTCCTTTTAGAACAGCTGTGGGTTTCATGGTAGAGTTCTCAGTCACTTGCCCCATAGATGCGAGGCCTATAACAGGCTTGCTGGGAACAGATTCTAGTGGAGAAGGTATTGTCAGGAACGTAGGTGATAACTCAGCAATCTCAGGGCCATTTACAATGGATGGAGCATCTGAAATAAGTCTACTGGGAGCACTGGCAAGTCCATCAGCTGTTTGATTTCTAGTAGAGCCTACAGAATTATATGTCGGTCGTATGGGACTCTCAAACCCTTTGATGACAGGGGTGGGATCTGAATGAAATCTGCTGGGAGCTGTGCCAGGTATATCAGTTGTTGGACTGATAGTAGATCCTGTGGACTTGTTTCTAGATCCTACGAAACTCTCAGAGCTTTTCATGACAGGGGTGGGATCTGAATGAAATCTGCTGGGAGCTGTGCCAGGTATATCAGTTGTTGGACTGATAGTAGATCCTGTGGACTTGTTTCTAGATCCTACGAAACTCTCAGAGCTTTTCATGACAGGGGTGGGATCTGAATGAAATCTGCTGGAAGTGCTGTCTGGTACGTCAGCTGCTGGCGTTGTAATAGATCTTATGGAAACTTTGCTGCCATTGGCAACCGGCTCAGGGTGGATAGTAGATGGAGTAACAGTCGCTTGTAATGCAGAGGAGGATTTTGTAGAAGACCTCTTGGCCTCTTGCCCAGTCAATATGGCTATGTTGGACTCCTCCATCCTCACAACAGGAACATGTATTGCTTGTGAAACGGGTGTGCCAGCCCCATGAGTGGGCCTGGCCGGAATACTGGGCGGTGTTGGTTTAGAGACGGCATCGCCCACTAATCTGTGAAAAACGCCTGCCCCTTCTTGCACCACGGCAGATTTGACGGTGCTTGAAAGTGGCGGATTCAGAGGGGCACTTGCTTGGTTTAGCTGTCGGACTGCTTCCTTCACCCAGCTCGCCTCTGGATCTACACAGAACTCTTTATTCTTCTGAGTGACAAATCTGAAGAGAGACCAGAAACAGCAACAATCACAAGAAACAGAAAGGAAGAGCTGATAAATATGCAAAGCCTGGATAAAAGCAGCCATGAGGAAGCTCAGACTACCTTGGCAGAAGCTAGAGACATTCCATTTTCCCAATGCCTTCTGAAAGTTAAATATAGCCATGTTCTGGTGTACAGGAGATAGAGATCTAATCAGTTGGCATTTGAGTCATGATTTGATGTGATGAATAATTTCCTGAGGATAGACTTTCTTTTTCCTTTTCGTTGTTAAAGTAACTATTTTGAAATGGGGCAGTTGACCCGATTTTCACCTGAGGATGCTGTAATGAAGTTAAAAGGGGCTAACTGTGTAATCACATATAGGGTCGGATCCTGTTCCCACTGAAACCGAAGGGAATTTTGCCACCCGCTGCAATGGGAGCATGGCCAGACTGTAACATTAAAGTACAATTCTGCTCTGTAAAGTGGCTGCAAATATGGCATCATGGGGTTCCATGTTTGTGCCTCACTGACGCCAGATTGTTATTTATTATTTAGCACCTACAGGCCCCTACTGAGATCAGGCTCTGTTGTACAACATGTACAGAACTAGAGACAGTCCCTGGCCCAAAACATTTACCATCTAAATAGAGCAGATAAACAGTGGGAGGGGAAAGAGGCAGGTCACTCGCCAGACAGGGAACAGAACTCAGCTTTCCTGACTAGAGCTGGTGGGTTTTTGGCTCAATGCAATTTTTCAGAAATTTCCCCTTTCCTGGGAAATGTTTGACTTTTTGTGCAGAAACCACCCCCCCCCCCCAACAAAAAAACAACAACAACAAAAAAAAAACCCGAATGCCCCAAACCTGAAGAGCTTTCAGCTGGAAACCGAAATGGAAAAGCTGTGATTTGGAAATTCTGCCATGGTGCCTCATGGGAGTTGTATCCTGACTGCCTCATTCCCCCTCCCTCCACCCCCTGGGGCTGGATTCCCCAGCTAGACGACATCTCCCATGAGGCACTGCAACCAGGGACTTCTATGATGTGTTGCATCAAGAGGGGAGAACAGTGCAACATGGGAGATGTAGTCCATCCAGGGAGCCCAGGCCATTGAGCTTGAAGCACCCAAACTACAGTTACCATGAGGCACCAAGGTATCATTTTTAAATCAAGACTTTCATATTTTCAGCTGAAAGGTTTATAAATTAAAACCACATGTAGCAATTGTCAGGTTCCAAGACCTCCTTCAGATCCCACCCCTGTCATCAAAGGGTTGAGAGTCCCATACGACCTACCTATAATTCTGTAGGCTTTTAAAACAAATTAATGAGTTCCCAGGGGCTCCCAGAGTGGAAGGCTGGACTTGTGCTTAAGGCAGAGGCCTACTCTTCAGGTCCTGATTCTGCCACAGGCTTCCTGTATAACCTTGACCAAAACACTTAGGCTTGGTCTACACACTACCCATTCATGTCAGTATAACTACATTACTCAGGGAAAATCCACACCCCAGAGCAACGCAGTGATACCGACCTAACTCCTGGTGTAGACAGCACTGTCGACGGGAGGACTTCTCCCGCCGACATAGCTACCACCTCGCCGGGAGGGGGAGAAGCTCTCCTGTCGACGTAGGGAGCATCTTCAATAAGCGCTCCTGCCTCACTATGTGTGTGTACAACACCTAGTACGATGGGGCCCTGAGTTCAGCTGGGGCCTGTGGGCAGTTTCCAGAATGTGTTTTGCACCAAAACGAGGCCCTTTGCAGGATTTTGGCCCATTTATTTTCAGAGTTGCAAATTAAATTAATCGATTCTGAATTTAATATTAAAAGAGGACCACATGGTAGAAAAGTACTTACATGATAGCGGCTTTAGGACATGATGGTTCTGTCTTCCTATAGGTCTTCAACCGTTTCTGGGGTATTTCTGTGCTTGAAAATTTGGTGCATAATTTTTTGCACTTCACAGGTGCTTTGGGTTGTCCTAAGGCAAAAAAAAGAAGAAAAAAAATCAAGGTTAGTGTCAGCTCATGCTCTGGATGTAACGAAAGCTGCAAATCATCCCCTTTCTCCTCCTGCCTGGAGAAGGGATTCCAAAGCCTGCTATCAAATTTTGCAATCTTAAAATGACGTGTGCTGCATCAGTGAAAACAAATCCTAGCAAGAACGTTCTCGTCAGGGCTAAGTGAGTGCTGTAAGAATGGAGGGGAAGACCCTAGCAAAAGCATGTGAAAACAAAAGATTCTTGAGCCATCATTAAATAAAAGCCCCCAGTGGGCTCTGGATGGATGGGGAACGCACAGAGACGCTTGCTTGCGGGTCCGCAGTTCAAATCTGAACGGCATCGTCGCTAAATGCCCCAATAGCAACTATGTGGGTAAAACCAGACAATCACCACACTCCCAAATGAACTCACACAGGAAAATGATAAAAGACAAACACACTGCATCACCTGGGTGTGAATACTTCTCACAAAGAGGTCAGACCTAGCGTGTCCTCAGCCTCAAAGGAAACCTGCACATCACTGTCAAAAGATTAGCCTGGGAGCTTAAATTCATAACTACATGAGACACTAAAAATCTTGGACCGAATAGAGCAGGGCTGGGCAAACGTTTTGCCCTGAGGGCCACATCTGGGTATGGAAATTGTATGGCGGGCCATGAATGCTCACGGAATTAACAATCCAGGTTCAAACGGAGACAACATACGTTTGTTTCAAAATCAAACTGCCGTTTTACAAGATTGGACTCACTGTGAAAAAACTGGGCCCTCTCTCTAGCCTGGATTTGTCGGGCGTCAGCGTCCAGTCATAGGAACTCACTGAAATTCACCAGCCCCCCTGCTCTCAGAAATTGCCTCCCAGGTAGATCCCGATAGCCCACAACTGAGTCGCCTCTGGGTGCTGGGAAAGTCACCTAAGCCACCAAGTACCAGGCACCTGGGCTTGCACCTTCCAGGCTCTGATGGTGCATGAGGCATGTTTGTGTTGGGCTGCCGGAGTAACATGTGTGTCCTCACGCCCATCACGCAGGAGCACTGGGTGGGCAGAGCGAAGCAAGCCCCTGACCCCACTCCCTGGCTGGAGCACCGGAGCGGGACAGTGGAGTTTGAGGTGCCGGATTGAAAGGTCTGACGGGCTGGACGCGGGCAGTAGTTTGCCCACCCCTGGAATAGAGACACTGGATTTATGGTTTATTATAACCATCTATAGCTCACTAACAAGCCTCTCCCCCTTTCCTCCCTCTGACTGGAGGGATGTTAACAGGCCACTTCACCGTGAATGGTCCCTTGAGATAAGCGGTAACTACTTACGCTAAACACTCTGTTCCCCCTTGTATTTAGGGGTGACACATCCCTTTCCCAGCCCTGCAGAAGAGCTCTGTGTAGCTCCAAAGCTGGTCTCTCGCACCGACAGAAGCTGGTCCAATAAAAGATATCACCTCCCCCACCTCGTCTCTCTTGGTGGCATTTGTGAAACAAATTAAAGGGTCTCAGTCCAGTTCCTAGTGGCTCGTGCCTTAGTCACAAAAGCAACTTCTCCAGCGGCCGTTGGGTGGCCCCTTTGTTGGCCCCCTCGGGACAAAGGTGGCGGAGGATGAGGCGCTCTACAGGGCAGGGCTGAGGCCCGATCATTGACGGGGCAGCATGAGGTACACGTGCTCCACTGCTGCCAAACCTGTCCATCGCCTTTTCCCCGGCAATGGCTCCCCTACAGACAAACTCCACCCACCTCGTCTCTTAACGTAGGGTTTTCACACAGGCGCCTATCGCCGTAGCGCGTATGTCTGCCAAGCAGCTGGAAGGGTGCCTCCCAGACGGGGTCGCTCCAGGTAGCGTGCTAAAAATAGCTGCGTGACGGCAGCGGCTGAGTCCATGCCCCCGGGGTTGGGCAGCCTGGTACTCGGGGGGCTCGCCTGAGAAGGTGTTCGTGCCGCGCCGACTACGCGGTGATTTTTCGCACACTAGCTCGAGCCAAGCCCCGTCCCGCCTGCTCTGTAGGCACACGCTCAGTCCCTGCGCACTCCCTAGGATCTGGGGAAAGGTGCAAAGAACACACCTTTGGCGACCTTCTCTGAGGTTTCCCATAACGATCGCCCGTGCTGAGGTATTAACATGCTAGCCGTAGAAACCACACGCGTCGCCTTTCTAAGACACGGCTACTGAAAACATAACGCTGCACAAAGAGCAGCTTGCTCAATACGGGCCAAACGGTGCAGTCCCTCCTCCCACCGGGGAGACTTTACTCCTGCAAGCGGGCCCAGTGACTTCACTGAGGCTACTTGCCGTGCAACGGAAGCAGCGGTTGCACAATGAAGCATTGTGTGTGCCTTGGACTTAGAGCTTGTTTGGATTGGCATGTCTTCCGCGCTCCCTTGAGGTAAATTAAAAATCATTGCTTCTGCCCAGTAACTTTCTCATGGTCATTTTTGTTCCTGAGTTGTTTGTTCGTTCTTGTGAATTAGTTCAGCCGAGGCCAAATAGTCAAAGGGTCTTCCTTCACAATCAGCCCTAATGGAGGACTAGGCTGGGGTGTCTGGTTTTATTCCATTTCAAGGAAGTTAAACAAATATCTCCTGTAGTAAGTGCAACAGAGTCATCAAACATTCAACATCAAGGACCACATTCTGTGACCGCAGGGAGGGACCCTTTGGCAAGCGAGAGGATTGCTCACAGAGTAACGTGCTACTCCACAGGAGCAAGGTCGGGGGGAGAGCAGGGTCTGATCCTTAGCCACTGAGGTACGTCTGCGGTGGAATGAAAGACTCTGCAGCTGGCCTGGTGTCAGCCAACTCAGGCTCGGGCTGCAGGGCTAAAAATTGGCTTGGACTGGAGCCGGGGTTCTTGGACCCTCCCCCCTTGTGGGGTCCCAGAGCTCGGACTCCAGCCTGTGCCTGAACATCTGCACAGCAATTCTGCAACCTGAGCCAGCTCTTTTACTGCTGTGCATACATCCCCTGCGTGCACACCCAGAGAGTGAAGTATGGCTTGCCGGGGGGGAGGTGGTTCGAATTGGGACGCGACTCTAAGGGGTTGGGCTGTTTGCTCTCCACAGGGTGTATCTGGCTGGCTGAGCCTGGCTCTGTAAGCACTCTGCAGCCTATACACCCCAGTGTTTAGCTCTCGGTGTGACAGTGGATGAGTAAAGGTGACCATTTGTATCATTAGTGCTACTACTGTTACACAATTGCGACAAATCTTGTGCAAAGTATGTCATGTAAGGTGTCAGTGGAAAAGTTATTATCTGCTAAGTATGACGATCCTGCTTAAATCCATGTGTCGTCTTTATATCTGAAGTTAGGAATGTATTTGCATCTCAGATGTGTTTGTTCCTGGATGACACCTCTCAAATAGATATACATCAAGGCTAGACAGCTCTGTGTCGGTGGGCCATCAAGGACACTCAGCTCTCACAACGGGCCATAAAAGAAACTCATCCTGTCCAGATAGCTCTCCCTGAGGATGCCTCAGACACCAAAGGGGCCAATGGCCAAGTCCTGTGAGTCAGCCAACCACGCAAGGACATGTGATATGTTCATGTGACCCTGGACTCCATCTTGGGCCAGTAACTTTCCACAAACAGGGGGCTGTGCGGCTTTGTTTGGGACAGTAATTTTTCCATGCACATGGCAGAGGATATGAAAAGACACCTGAGACATCGCTGTTTTGTTTTCATTTTATGCTTCATTTCTCTGGACTGGATGTCTAACTAGGACTGAGGTGAATGATTCCAGAGAGACTTTTGCAGACTAGTAGTTTATTCCATCATGGCTACAAACCTGATATAAGACCTTTGCAATCACTTGCATGTATATGTTTCCTTTAACCATTCAATAAGACAGAAGTCCACTTTTGCTACTGGCTTGGTGTAATCTAATGCTAGAATAACCACCAGTTTGGGGTGAGTCTGTCCTATTGCTCAGCAGTCTGTCCTGAATCTAGTATTCTCAGCTGTGCCCCACTGAATATAGATTAATCTGTCCCCCCTCTTCCCAGCCAGCATTACCGGGGATGTTCTGAAACTTGTGGGGATACTCACAATTACTCCCACTGAGCTAGGGTCTGTGCTGGCCCCTCAGGAGCTGCTGTGCCGACAGAAGAGAAGGAAACGCAGCTTTAAGCTAAACTGCCTGGATAGTGCCTGCTCCAGGGGTTAGTAGCCAGTGGGCTGCTCCAGGACCCCCACAATTCCAAGTGCAACAGCCCCACCCCTTCCCAACTCCTCCTGAGGGCTGCAAGGGGGCAGTGTAGGATGGTATGCCAATCCTGTGCCAGTGGAATCCTCTCTGGGGCCATTGCAGCCTTTCGTGGCCCTTATGCACCCCCTGTGCAGTGGGGGACCAGAATCTGAGCCATTCTTTTTATCACAAGTAGAAACAGGCCTGACCCAAGCCCCAGATCTGAACCTTCCCCTTCCATGAACTTTGGGGAAAGTGCGGATCTGATTCTATACTGGCCCCTGTTGCTGCAAAGCAAAAAACCCTGGCTCTGACATCCCCCAGCTTTGGACAAGTTCTTACTCTGGCCCACAGTGCAACTTGGCAGCTTGCTCCTCTTTCTGTTTATAAACATCTTGACTGGAGACGTCACAAGGGAAGTCAGACACACTACAGTCTTCTGCAGCTGCCTGCTGGCCCTGGGCAGCGTAATTATGACCAAGAAGGAAGCAAGAAGGGCAGAAGTCGCATCGTGAGAAAAGGAGGAGATCAAGATGATGGAAGGTTTAAAAATAATTAAAGCAAAACAAAATCAAATGCACACCCACATGAACTGGATAAAGCCCTATGGGACAGTCCTGCAGAATTTAATAGAACATGAGAACCTTTCTACAGGGGTTTTGAAATATCTTCTTGATTGAATAGAGAAATCTACCCCTGCTCTAGAACTCTGTAGAATGGTTCAAACTATAAGATTCCCAACCTGGAGGTCATGACCACCCTGCCTTGCCCAGGCCCTATTGCTAGACGGGGTCCCAGTTAGTTGGGTGGAGGGGTCTTGGGATGGAGAAGAGAATAGCTCAGAATCACTGGTTTAGATAAACCTCCCTGTTAAATCCTAGATAGAGCCCACAAAATGACTCTTTATTGAAATGCCTCTATGAGGAATATCACAGAGATCCCTGCTACTTCTAGCAGGACACAGCTTTTGCAATCCTAAGAAGAACAGCGAAAGTAATAGTCTGGTATGTACCATTATATGCAGCCAAGGATTCTGAAGGTCCTGTTATTTCTCAGTCTCTATACCAGCTCTTCTGTGGGGGCCCCCGGTAAAAGTTTAGGCTCCATTCCTGTTGAGCTAGGACTGTCTCTGATTACCATTTGTGACAAAGCGGGACTGTTCATAGTGTTTCCTCTGAATAGTGTGGGGGTGCCTCAGTTTCCCCAACGCAGTTCTTAAGTATCTAGGTGGTGGGATAAGGGTGTATGATCAATGCAGAGCCCTAGAGGGCAGGTGTGTGCAGGGGTCTGGACACAGAGAATGGCCGACACCCTGTTTCCTGGCAACTGATGGCCTGGCCCTTCCCCCCTGCAAGGTGAGAGCTAAAGGGTTGGAGAACAAAGGAATCAGGTGACCTCCTGGCCCGGGAAAGGGACAAAGCCCAGAGGAGGGGGGGGCTGGAGAGAGTTTCAGTTTGGGGCTGGCTGGGGACATGGAGTGACGTGCAGACGTGGTTGTCTGGCTCACTGCCCCCCAAAATAGACCCACCTGAGGGGTCCTGTTCTCTGCACCTACAAGCTCTGTGTTAGACCATGTTCCTGTCATCTAATAAACCTTCTGTTTTACTGGCTGGCTGAGAGTCACGTCTGACTGCAGAGTCAGGGGGGCAGGACCCTCTGGCTTTCCCAAGACCCTGCCTGGGCGGACTCGCTGTGCGAAGCGCAGGGAGGGCCAGAGGATGCTGAATGCTCCGAGGTCAGACTCAGGAATGTGGAAGCCGGGTGAGCTGTGTGTCCTGCAGACAGGCTGCTCCCAGAGAGGAGACTTCCCCAGAGTCCTGACTGGCGTCATAGGGAGCAGCTCCAGGGCATCGCCCAAGGACTCGGTGACACCCTTGTCATGCGATACGCAGCAACACACTTCTTCAAGAAGGTTCCTCAAGGAAACCAGCCTTGAACCCAGCAGACGACGCTGCCTCTTCAAACCCGATTACATTTCTTTAGATCCCTATTGGCTTCAGCCTGATTCACTTCTATCGGAGTTTCCCACCACGGAAGGGGGGCAGGCAGTAATACGGCTGTGTATGCACACTCAGTCCATGTTAATTTTTGTATGTTTGATAGATTCAACTCATACCCACATTCAGATGTCACCAGCCTCCCTGTCACATATCACCTTACTGTCCTGTAATATTCTTATGCAGATAATTGGCCACATTTTCTGGCCCTGGGATGCACAAATACAAGCCTTTACCATGAGCCTGTGAACACCACTGTGCTAACTGAATGCCCAGAGGACCAGTTATCTCTAATTACGTGTGGGCCAAGGTGCATGCTCTTTAGGCACCCAGATGCACACCCGTTCTTGCCGAGGGTAGATCTGAATATCCAGCCCAGTGGTTTTCAAACTGTGGGTCACGACCCAATACTGCGGGGCGGAATGGAAGGCACTGGGTCGTGGCGGGTCTGGTCAGCAACACCGACCGGGCCGTTAAAAGTCCCGGCGGGGGTGCTGCCCGGCGAAGGCGGGCTAGTCCCTGCCTGTTCTGACACTGCGCTGCGCCCTGGAAGCGGCCAGCAGCCGGTCCGGCTCCTAGGCGGGGGGGCCACTGGGACCTAGGGTGGGGAGGGGCAGTGTCTGCGGGTGCGAGCTGCACAGAGCCACTCGCGTGCCTCTGCCGAGGAGCTGGATCGGCTGCTGGCCACTCCCGGGGCGCAGCGCGGTCTGTGGTGCCAGGACAGGCGGGAAGCCTGCCTTCAACCCCGGCTGTGCCGCTGACCAGGAGTCGCCCGAAGTAAGTCCGCACCCCAACCCCCTGCCCCAGCCCTGAGCCCCACTGCTTAACAGCCTCCCTCTTGCTGCCACTGGCCCTTCCTGCACCCCAAACCCCTCATTCCTGGCCCCACCCCAGAGCTGCACCCCCAGCCCAGAGCCCTGACCCCCTTCCGCACCCCAATCCCCTGCCCCAGCCCTGAGCCCACCCCAAACCCACAGCCCCCTCCTGCACCCCCAAACCCCTCAACCCCGACCCCACCCCACAGCTCTCACCCCCGCACCCCAACCCTCTGCCCCAGCCCTGAGCCCCACTGCTTAACAGCCTCCCTCTTGCTGCCACTGGCCCCTTCCTGCACCCCAAACCCCTCATTCCTGGCCCCACCCCAGAGCTGCACCCCCCAGCCCAGAGCCCTGACCCCCTTCCGCACCCCAATCCCCTGCCCCAGCCCTGAGCCCCACTGCTTAACAGCCTCCCTCTTGCTGCCACTGGCCCCTTCCTGCACCCCAAACCCCTCATTCCTGGCCCCACCCCAGAGCTGCACCCCCAGCCCAGAGCCCTGACCCCCTTCCGCACCCCAACCCCCTGCCCCAGCCCTGAGCCCCACTGCTTAACAGCCTCCCTCTTGCTGCCACTGGCCCCTTCCTGCACCCCAAACCCCTCATTCCTGGCCCCACCCCAGAGCTGCACCCCCCAGCCCAGAGCCCTGACCCCCTTCCGCACCCCAACCCCCTGCCCCAGCCCTGAGCCCCACTGCTTAACAGCCTCCCTCTTGCTGCCACTGGCCCCTTCCTGCACCCCAAACCCCTCATTCCTGGCCCCACCCCAGAGCTGCACCCCCCAGCCCAGAGCCCTGACCCCCTTCCGCACCCCAACCCCCTGCCCCAGCCCTGAGCCCCACTGCTTAACAGCCTCCCTCTTGCTGCCACTGGCCCCTTCCTGCACCCCAAACCCCTCATTCCTGGCCCCACCCCCAGAGCTGCACCCCCCAGCCCAGAGCCCTGACCCCCTTCCGCACCCCAACCCCCTGCCCCAGCCCTGAGCCCCACTGCTTAACAGCCTCCCTCTTGCTGCCACTGGCCCCTTCCTGCACCCCAAACCCCTCATTCCTGGCCCCACCCCAGAGCTGCACCCCCCAGCCCAGAGCCCTGACCCCCTTCCGCACCCCAACCCCCTGCCCCAGCCCTGAGCCCCACTGCTTAACAGCCTCCCTCTTCCTGCCACTGGCCCCTTCCTGCACCCCAAACCCCTCATTCCTGGCCCCACCCCAGAGCTGCACCCCCCAGCCCAGAGCCCTGACCCCCTTCCGCACCCCAACCCCCTGCCCCAGCCCTGAGCCCATCCCAAACCCACAGCCCCCTCCTGCACCCCCAAACCCCTCAACCCCGACCCCACCCCGCAGCTCTCACCCCCGCACCCCAACCCTCTGCCCCAGCCCTGAGCCCCTCCCACGCCCCAAACCTCCCATCCCCAGCTCCGCTGGGTCGCGGGCGTCCACAAGTTTCTTCAACTGGGTCCTCAGAAAAAAAGTGTAAAAAGCACGGATCTAGGAAATCTTTCAGCTACTTTTTAAAAAATTTCTGTTTAACATTACAAGCCTTGTCTAAACTTTCTTTTTTGTCTGTCTCTGGGTGTAGATCTGATACGCTGTGTGTCTGACTCGCCGTGTAGCAGCCCTGACACTCAGCGTGTGTGCGTGCGTCCGACGAATCCTGAAACTTTCTCTTTCCCTCGCCTGACTCAGAAAAGGAACTGTAGCCCAGGCTTGTTTGGATTTCTTTGCTGGGCCGGCTATCCCTCACTCCCAGAACACCGGGCCTGTTCCTTCCTTAAAGGAATCTGTGCTTTCTGCAACAACACCACAGAGCAGGACCATTAATCAGCTTCAACCGCAGCTCTTTCCCCCCATCCCAGGAAACCCGGCCTTTCCTTCAGCACTTTCTACTTCAAAGCAGCTCACCTTCGACTCGGTTTTCCACGGTCCAGGTCACCACCAGTGCAAGCAGCAAGAAAGAAGCGATAGATGTGCCCTTCATCTTCCGGTGAGCAGGGGCCAGCGGCAGCAAGAGGGAGGCGGTTAAGCAGGTTGTGATTTCACAGCGTTTCGCTCGGCTCCCTCTTAGATCTGGACACAGCAACAGCAGACCTCCAAGGACGAGAGGCAGGGTGCAGCGCCCGGCCTTTATTGAACATATGGTTTCAATTTTGGTTCTGCGTGGGTGTGTAGGCTGGATTTTACCACCTCCCCGCTCCTGTCCCGTGACAAAGTGAGGAGGGGAAAACCAGGGTTGGGAATGTGGGTCTTTGGCAGAACAGATGGCTCCGGGAATTTCCCAGTGTGTCAATGACATAAACTGTAAACCCTTTTCCTTATAGCAGGGCACTATCAAATCGGGAGCTGGTGACCGAGGGCGGTAGAAATAGCTGGTATAAACTGACAGGGAGCTGAAGGAGATGAGTTAATTTATAACCACCCACCCTGTGGCCAGTGTCCTTAATGTGAAGCCGGGCGGCTCTTCCTGGCTCTCTGCTCGGTATCCTCATTTCAAATTTCAGCAGAAAGCAGAGTGTTTCTCCCTCTTCCCCCTTTTTCTGCAAGGCAGGTTGCGGGTGGAAGCCCCATCACTGGACGTTGGACAAACACCTGTCAGGGATGGGCTAGGTCAGGTTGACCTGGTCCTGCCTCAGCCTGGGGGGATGGATTTGCTGATCTCTCCAGGGCCCTGCCCAGCCCTACACTGCCGCGATTCCACGGTCACGTCAAATAAATTGCAAACCAACGTCATTTTGAAACGCAAACTGAATCGCATCGTTCCAATGAGGCTTAAATGGAATGTTTAGATTGAAGCAAAATGCTTTTTTTCCCCCCCGCTCATTCCGAAAATGAAAATTCGCTGAAATGGACACGGTCCTGTAAACAGTTTTGATTTCAAGGAAAGGGTATTTTCCAATGAACAAATGTTCCACTGAAAAATTTCCAACCAGCTGTATTGTTACACTGAAGAAGAGGCAGTCCCTGCCCCACAGAGCAGGGGCCTGGGGCCCTCTGGGGGCCTGTGAGCAGGTTTCAGGGGGTCCTCCAAGCAGGGCCAGCATTAGACTCGCTAATGGGCAGAAAAGCCAAAGCCCCACCGCATGGGGCTGAAGCCTGGGGCCCTGAGCCCCGCCACCCGGGGCTGAAGCTGAAATCTGAGCAATGGAGCTTTGTGGGGGGCCCTGCGGTGTGGGGCCCCAGGCAACTGCCCTGCTTGCTACCCGCCTAATGCCGGCCCTGGGTTTTATATGCAGAAAACCAATTGTTGCGGCACAGGTGGGCCGTGGAGTTTTTGTAGCATGTTGGCGGGGGCTCAGAAAGGGAAAGGTTGAGAATCCCGGCCAGAGAGCTCACAGCCTAAGGGCACAAAGGCAAGGGAAAAGGATAGAACATACCACCCACGGGATGAAAAAGATTAGAGGCCTGGCTTATTGGATACACAGGTTGTTAGCTTTTAAGGTGAACCATTGGCCCACATCCTCAGGGGGTGTAAGGCAGCCTAGCTGCACTGAAGCCAATGGACCGAAGCTGATTTACATCAGCGGTGGCTCTTACGTTCTCCTCTCCCAGTTCTCTCTCCATGATTCTTCCCGCTCACCTTCCCCCATGCGAATTCCCAGCTCCAGTTCCCATGTGCTTATTCCCTCCCTCCCTGCAGGCCAGCAAAGAAAGGGCAGCTTTGATGCAGATTCTGAAGGGGGCGGGGGGGTTTGTCAGACTTGCTGGACAGTTGTGGTGTCAGACTGAGACCTGTGCACTGAAGTCTCACCACATGGCAGTGGAAACCTCAGCAAGACTGGTTTGATGAAAACAACGAGGAAATCCTAGCATTAATTCAACAGAAAAGAAATGCATTCTGTATCTGGCAAAATGATTCTACTAACCAATGAAAACATGAGGCCGATCACCTGCTTAAAGCCAATGTCCAAAGGAGGCTATGTGACATCAAAAACAAGTGGTGGCAAGAGAAGGCCTCTGAGGTCCAGGGTTTCATAGACCAGGATGACACAAGAAGCTTCTTTCAAACCACAAAAACTATATATGGGCCAAGCTCCAAAAGCGCAACCCCCTTACGTTCTCAGGATGGCTCCACCCTCCTCAAGGACCCTCCTCAAGGACAATGCAACCATTAAACAACGCTGGAAGGAGCTTTTTGAGAGCCTACTAAACCACGAATCCGCGGTTTCTGAAGACACCATCGAGTTTATTCCACAACGCTCAGTAATGGAACACCTTGCTGATCCCCCCCACCTTCTGAGGAAGTCCAGCATGCCATCACTCAGACAAAAAATCACAAGGCTCCAGGCCCAGACGGCATCCCAGCTGAGGTTTTTAAAGCTGGTGGAACAATGCTCCAGCACAAACTTTGCCAATTCCTCGACAGAATCTGGACCTACGAAGAAATTCCACCTGACTTTAAGAACACCAACATTGTTACAATATTCAAGAAAGGGGACAAATCTTTGTGCAGAAATTACAGAGGTATTGCTTTCCTTTCCTTCGCAGGGAAGATTCCTGCCCAGATCCTACTAAACCAACTCCTCCACCTTGCCGAGGAACTCCTCCCCAAATCACAGTGTGGCTTCAGGCCATCCTGAGGCACAACGGACATGATCTTCGTGGCAAGACAGATTCAAGGGAAGTGCAGAGAGCAACACCAGGAACTGTTCATGGCATTCATCGACCTAATCAAGGCCTTTGACTCCGTCAATCGTGATGCCCTATGAAAGGTGCTGTGTAGGTTTGACTGTCCCCAGATATTCATTTCCATCATCAGACTGCTCCATGATGGGATGATTGACACCATTCTGTGCAACGGCTCAGAGGCCAAACCACTCATCATTCGTACCAGTGTCAAGCAGGGCTGTGTCATTGCTCCAACACTCTTCTCCATTTACCTTGCCGTAATCCTGATTCTCGTCCGTGACCACCTTCCTGACAGAATTGGGATTGAATATCGTATGCATGGCCAACTCCTCAATCTTCGACATCTCCAAACAAAATATTAGATCATGAGAATTGGCATCACTGCGTCCTTCAATATGCAGATGACTGGGTCATTCTTGCACACACAGAGGTCAACCTGCAAAGCACCCTAAATCTTTTTGCAGATGCCTATCGCAGCCTGGTCTCTCTCTCAACATCGGGAAAACCAAGGTACTCTACCAGCCCTCACTTGCACAAACTACTCTTCATACTCTACAAATCACCATCAGTGGAGAACCCCTGGAAAATGTGGACCATTTTCTGTACCTTGGCACCTACTTCTCCCAAACAGCCAGCATTGACACAGAAATTGAATACAGGATCCGCTGTGCCAACACCTCTTTTGGAAGACTACTTAAATGAGTCTTCAGTGATCGGGATCTGCAAACAGGCACCAAGATCTTGGTTTACAAGGCAGTTGTCAATGGGTGTGAGACCTGGGTAACCTGCAGACAACATCTCAAGCGACTGGCATGGATCCAGCAGTGCTGCCTCAGGAGGATTCTCAGGATCAGCTGGGAAGACTGACGCACTAACATCAGCGTTCTCGCTGCACGCAACATCAGCAGTATAAAGAAGCGCAGATCATGAAATACCAACTCTGCTGGGTTGGCCACTGGGTACATGTGCCCGACACTCACCTCCTGAAGCACGTGCTCTTCTCTGAGTTAAGTCAGGGAAGAAGGGCTCGCGGAGGGCAGCGGAAGCGTTTCAAAGCCATACTGAAAGTACATCTTAAAAAGGAAGGCATGAACCCAACACACGGGGAGGACTCGGCATGGAACAGAACACGGTGGCGCCACACCATACCCCAAGCCACAGCTCACTTTGAGGAGAACAGACGTGCTCATGAGACAGAGAAGCGACAAAGGAGGAAAGAAAGGGCACAACACTCCAGCCAACAACTATGTCTCCTCCAAGATTACACCTGCCACTTCTGTGGGGAAATTTGCAGGGCACGAATTGGGCTTTTCAGCCACTTAAAAACTCACCAATGAACCCCCTTGGCAGACATCGTCCTCGCATTGAGGGATAGCCAAAGAAGAAGATAGAAATCAACATCTCACAGGGCCCTAGTACCAGCCCAGTGACCAGGAACTCAACAGACCAGGCCATGCATGCCAGGAGGTATCCCTGGGCTCCAGTGAAACCCCCATCTGCCAGCTGCCTACTCTATCAGCCCTCCCTACAGCACAGCCTGGTGGCGTACATCCCCTCGGGTCTATCTTGTTGTCCTAATTTAGACTCTTAGAACCTGGGTGTTATGAGGCCCCCATGACCCATTCAGCAATGGGACGTGCTCTATTCAAGCGAGAAGATGGGTCTTAACCAAACCTCTGGATCTGAACCCAGGGTTCAGATGTGAGTTTGCTGCTTTATTCCTACGCTCAGTCTCAGCTGAACACCCCTGCCAAACACCATGACTTATGGGTAAATTTGGCTTGGCGCCTGATTTCAGGCACCAGCATTCGGGAGCGTTCAGATCCAGCGTTCTAAGAGCCAGGAAGACCAGATCCAGATCCGGGTCATGTGAAGCAGTGTCCATGTCACTGCACAGCTGGAACCAGTTATCCTCCCGACTGGCAGCCTCAGCAGAAAAGCCATGGATCTACTGATGCAAGAGGACTAAACAAACCTTTCTGCCCCCTAGCGATAGGCCTTCCAGATCGGCCATGCTGGAGCTTGGCTTGCTGCCAGGCATGCTGTACCTGTAGGGTTGCCAACTTTCTAATACCAGAAAATTGAACTAGTTGCCTAGTAATCACAGTCAGAGTCAAAGTATCATACATTTCTCCCCGCCTTTGTCTAGCTACGTTATAAACTCTCTGTTGCAGACTCTCGCTTTTTATGTGTATGTCCAGCGCCCACTACCCTGGAGCCCTGATCTTAGTTGGGGGTCTCTAGGCACTCCTCAACAATTGCAATAATAAATAATGTGGAAGTCTATGTGTTAGTGTAAGCTAGATGTGTACACATGAACACCCGTGTGTATCTGCATGTAGGTGTGGGAGTCAGTTACTACAGATTTATTGATATAGGTATCTGGACAGGTGTGCATTTCTGAGGTTGTGTTCTATGGATTTGTTTTTGGCCTTCAGGAGTGGGCCTTTAATGGACCCACTACAGCTGTGATAATGTGTGGTCCTAACGAAGGCAGGGGCGATGGAGTGAGCGAGGGTGGGGCCTCGGGGCAGAGGTGGGCAGGGGCAGGGCAAGGGTAGGTGTGGGAGGCAGGACAGGATGGGACGGGAAGGGAAGGGATGCAGTGAGGGGGATGAGGGTGTGAGGGGATTGGGACGGGGAGGGATGCGGGAATGGTGATGCGGGGGAGTTGGGATGGGGAGGGATCCAGTGAGGGGGACGGGACGGGGAGGGAGGCAATGACAGGGATGCAGGTGCAGGGGGGTTGGGATGGGGAGGAATGCAGTGAGGGGGATGGAGGTGCGGGGGGGGGGGGTTGGGGCGGGGAGAGATGCAGTGATGAGGGATGGGGTGCAGGGGGATTGGGACAGGAAGGAATGCAGTGAGGGGGATGTGCGCACAGGGGGATGCAGTGAGGGGGATGGGGGTGTGGGAGGGATGGGACGGGGAGGGATGGGGTGCAGGGGGTTGGAACGGGGAGGAATGCAGTGAGAGGGATGGGACGGGGAGGGATGCAGTGAGGGGGTGGGGTGGGGGGGTTGGGACGGGGAGGGATGCAATGAGGGGAATGGAGGTGCGGGGGGGTTGGGATGGGAAAGGACGCAGTGAGGGGAATGGGGTGGGGGAGTTGGGGTGGGGAGGGATGCAGTGAGGGGGATGGGGCAGAAAGGATGCAGTGAGGGGGATGGGGGCGCAGCCCCATTCCCAGCACCGGGAGACGGGGATACAGACACCTCCAAGGCCTGAGGGCCGGCGATGGGGTGACAGGTGGCAGTTGGCCGCGGGGCACGTGTCCCAGCTGGAGCCCAGCCACGGGAGGAGCGTGAGGAGAAGGGGGCCCCCAAAACCGGACCCTTGGGCCCCGTGTCCCCAGGGCTGTGGCCCCAGCACTGAGGGGCAGCGGAACAGTTCCTCTCAATGTCTTACAGGCCCCTGAGGCCACATGACCCACCCAATTGTAACAATCCATCAGTGAGGACAAACCGGGGGCTTAAAACGATTGGTCAGCACTCTCTGTACGCAGAGGGCCACAATGACACACGACACAACTGGTTCCAAAAAACTAAAGATTTAATATATATAACAGTCACGGGTATTTTACATAAATAGAGCAGGGCCAGCGGGCCCCTGGGAGTACAGGGGCAGCTGTTTGAAGTTACTTCTTTTTCCTCAGGCGCTGGATTGCAGTTTGTACCCACTTGGCCTCTGGATCAGCACAGACTTCCCTGTTGTGGAGAGTCACAAACCTGCAATGGGGAAACATTAGGGAGCTCAGTTATTAACTGGTGAGCGAGATCGGGCAGTGTCCTACCCTGGAGTCAACTTTACAAAGGGTTGTGCAGATGTCAGGGGTGTGACTCCCAAGAAATACAATGAATACCCCAGAAAGGAAACCAGGGTCTGAATACATCGGTTTTACTGCTTCGCTGCCAGCCTCTGCTGTCGTATTTGTGCTGCTCGTGGCATACTGCTATAAGGCAGCCCGGCAGAGGTCTTTTGCCTCATGTACCTGGTGCACTCACCAGCTGTCAGCTGGCTAGCATCTGCAGAGGACTGAAGGAGGAGAATTTCCCTGGCTGCCAGGTGGTAACATTAAAATACTTTGCATTTCTATGGTTCCTTTTACCCGAGGATCTCAAAGCAGATTTCATGCTTCCCCTGTGAAGTACTGTAGTTACAGATGGGTAAACTGAGGCAGGGAAAGGTTAGGGGACCTGCCCACAGCTAGTGCAGTGTTTCTTCATCCCAAACCAGTAGGCAATGCTTTGACAACTTCGTAGTTATAACAGTCTCTAGCTCATGCAGCACCTCCTATCCCAACACGCTTCACCCCATACACATACGCTCCCACCACTGGATTGCAACAGCTGAGTTCAGCACACAGTGGTTCAGGAAAGGAAGAAAAGCATGGTCTTAGGGGCTGAGTCTCCTCTCACAGACACGGGTGTCAATCGAGAGTAACTCCGTTGACGTCCGTGGAGTCATGTGTATGTGAAAGGAGAATCGGGTCCTTTGTGGCTGAGTGAAATTACCCAGTTGGTTTAGGCAGGCTGAACGGAGTAACTCAGATTGAAGTCTGCCTGGGGTCCAGTGGTTAACACCCTTATCTTGCCAAAGTGCCACGAGATCTCCAATGACCATAAGGGGTCCGCACCTCGGTTTTACTCCTCAAGCCCTTCCGTCTGATCTGAAATGTCCCCCTTATCAGGAAGCCAGAATAAAGAAGAATCTATGGCTACTTATGACAAGGCTGCTGCTGCTGAATTGGGCCCAGCTCTAATGAGCGTGCGCCCTTTTCGTTTACTCTGCGCTGGTTGGGTCAGGAGTGTAGCCGCTGTGCCTTTAACACCTCTGAAGAGCCTCTGGCGTCTTTGTCACACCCCCTATTGCACAGCCCTATGTACTGGGACGGTGCCTTAAAAATAGACAAGGAGGATGGGGCGGAGGGGGCGATTAGGGAGTCAGCCTGGCTTGAATTCCATGCTCTGCTTTATATAAAGCTTTCATGTAGCTGTAATTAGTGCGCTGCTACTTAAACAGTGTCTTTACGGTAGAGGAAGGGAAGATAAGGCAAGGTGTGGTTATAGCAGATGCCTCCAGGGCTCAGTGTGTAGCACAATGCATGAGGCACCCAGCGCGGCACTGCCTGGAAAGTCATGTCATTCCCGTAAAGTCCCGTTTCATTCGGGTAACTAGTGAGTCTTGACCTGAGCAGTTCCACTGCTTAGCCACATGGGCAGAATGGTCATCAGCCAATCAGATCCCTCTTTTCCTCTGCAGGGTAAGAATTAATCAATACCGGCCCTTGAAATATGTTCCATACATTTGCCTTTTTACAGTACAATTAATAAAATAATTATTTGATTTACACTTGGGGCCTGATTCGCCTCTCAGTCACACCAGTGTCAAGTCGGAACGACTCTGCTGAAATTAATCAGTGTAAATGAGAAGCAACTCCATTGGAGTCATACGGCTGCAAAACCAGCGTGAGATCGGAATCAGGCTCCTCATTACTTAGTGAAGAGGGCAGTTTCCTGGCTAAGTGACCACAGTATGTGATCCTTCCCCCTCACACTTGCACAAGCTGCATGTCCCTGACACACACCTATTCTATCCTCTGTTCACCACAAAGCAAGGCCTGACTAACTGAAGGCTACTTACACCACAGCAGGTCTCCTACACCCCGGAGAGGTCCTGTAGAAACTCCTCAGGTTAACAAAACGAATAGGTCCCTTCGTGACGCTTGCGCAGCAGGTTGTGTCTTCCGGGATACCTCGTGGAGCTTTTGGGGGAAAGGAAACCAAATGAGAAACAATTTCACACACGTTACATCTCTCTAGTGTCCCCACCTTGGTGTAGACGGAAAAGAGCCCGTACTATGAATTCCGTTCAAAGACAATAATGATGACTTGCAACTACATAGCATCTTCCTAGACAGAAGGAGCCCCAAAACAGCTGGTGAGGGAGTGCCAAATTCAACTTCCCTGGTAGAAGGTGTTTACCCAACATGCTTTGCTACCCATGATGCTGAACACGCTCCTCCTTCGTCCCTACCCTGGGGGCTGCAGGAAGGGTGGCATAAAGAGCCCTGTAGGCCATTACAACACCTACTGGGGAGATCTGGCCATTTTCCAGGCTCTTTGCATCACAAAGCACACAGAATGGGCTATCGAATCTGGCCCTGGAAGTATGATGAGGCTCTCTCTCACCACGACCCCAACAGCACCTCCCCGCACTCCCCACAGCTCTTTGCTGAAAAGGCCTGGCAATGTCCACTGACCTGCATGGGTGCGCTGAAGGGAAAGCCCTAGAAGGAAAATCACCAGAAGAGCTGTGGTCAGGCTGTTCATGATTCTGGGAGGTTTCTCCTCGGCTGGAGAGCTCTGGCCCTGGACTGTTTCCCTGGATGGCTGGGATGAACTGACAGCCTTGGACAGAGCTGCGGAATTTAAACCTGCCCGTGAAGATGTGCAATTCACCCTTTCCCCAGAGTTTGGAGAACTCTGACTTAATTTCTGCAGAAAGCTGAATCTGGTCATTCTTAGAACCCAACCTTGTTTCCCCTTTGTCTGGAGTGAGTCATGACCACGACCATGACCGCACAGTACCAAAGTACTACAATAGTCTTATAACGGAGTCCCAGATAGTCCCCCTAGACACTAGGTCTATCTTGCTGCAATCACAAACTCCTTTTGAGCCTTACCTAGGGTTAGAGCAGACTCTGGCACTGCACAAAAATCCTCAAATTCCTCCTCAGAAGCCAAACTACCACTCTCAACAGACATAGGGTTGAAGCCATCGCCCTCCTGCTCCTCTCCCCCCTTTGCCGCTTTCCCTGCTGTCCACAGCCAAAGCAGGAGAATCAGAGCCATACTCTCTCTGGTTGCGTTATGATATTAGGCTGCTTAGACCTGGCTGAAATGTTATTACCAATTAAAACATCAGCGGGCAGCAAATTTCTGATGCCTACGATTAACAGCCCCTTAAAATCTGCCCACTCAGGGCGAACGTTAGCTAGGGGCACAATCACAGAAAATTCATCCAAAGCTGGAATATTTCAACTTTCGCCAGGAAGTCTGTCCTTTTCCCCTACCAAACTTTCCTTAACCAAAGTGACTTGCGATGCCACATCACTCCAGCCTGAACATTCAGTGCTATTCACTCCAGCACTCTTAAATTCTTCACTACCTTCCCAAGACTCAGTCCTAATATAGTTTATGAGGCCATTCTCCTCCTTTACAATTTCCTCTGGGATCACAGTGGTAGCCTTGGGACTCATGGGGGGGAGGCTGTGGGTGCAGATTGTGGGGCGACCTTAAGTTTGGGGCAATTTGGTTTGATATGGCCAGGAGCCTGACAGTGAGGGCAGGCTGCCTGCCTCCCCTTAGGGCAAGGGGTTTTAAAATCCAAGCTCCCTTAAGGTTGTTTAAGAAAGTTGGGATTAGGTTTATTCCTAGACCCTCCTTCTTCTTAACCTGGGGAACAAGAGGATTTCCCTTCCCCTGGGGTTTGTGCCCCCATGAGCCCTTGACTCATCAGCAATGTCTGCAGCCTCCGAAACTGGGGAAGGCTTTTGGTCACGGATGGCCACTTTTCCCTCATCAGTGACTGTCCACAACAACTGTGCGTGTGCCAACAGATGGAACAGGTTTTCATCGTTACCTTCAGCACCTGCCCCCTTATCCATTTTTTCCATAACATTACACGTCATGCACATATTTGACATGAGTGACGCTGTCAAACATTTTAAGAATTCTGTACTTCAGCTGACGGGACTCAGGGGTAATCTTAAACCTTTTCAGTACCAGATGCACCCACCGGCAGCCCCCCATCAGCTCCCCCCCGACACACCTCCCCCCCATCATCTCCTGCCCGCCAGTGGGCCCCACAGATCAGCGCCTCCCCCTCCCTCCCCGTGCCTCCCGCCCACCGCAATCAGCTGTTTTGCGGCCTGCTCCTGGGGCAAAGTCTGTGAGCAAAGCTCTCGGCTCTTGATTGAAGGCTCTCTTTTTTATGGGATGTTCCCCTATTTTTGCATAATTTCTCAAGGCCTTTTGTGTCAAGACCCTCATACGAACACACACACCCTTGCCTGGCTGCTGCCTGCTGTGGAGCAGTGACGTGCATCCCCAGGGCTTGGGGTGCAGTGGGATCCCGCCTCCTCCCACCTGTCAGCTATGCTCCCTGTTCTGGGCCAGCTCCACTCAGCAGCAAGGAAGAGCTGGAGCAGGAGCTGCCAGCCCCACCAGAGGAACAGGAATAGGGAGTGCGCTCAGCCACGCCGTAATGGCACCTCCAGCCACTGCCTTCAGTGCTGCTCCTCTGTCGCCAGGATCTCTGGGACGCATCCAGAGGACTTCCGGGACCAGAGTCAAGCCGGGGCCATGTGCACACAGAAAAGCAATAGGGCTTGGACCCCAGGTCCCAGCTTAACATGGGCTCAGACCCGCCAGCCCTGCAGGGTCCTGGGACCCTAGGTCCAATCCCTAGGTTAGCACAATTGGTGTGTGGACGCAAGGGGGGAAGGGAGTTAGGCTTGAGCCCGGGCTTCCATTGCTGTGTAGACATACCCTAAGACTGTCCAGTCTGTCCTACCACCCAGGCAAGCTGGACTGAGTAATAAATGGTGACACACAACAAAAGTTGCACAATATTCAGGTTGTTTCCAGTCCCAAGAGACCAGTCACTTACCCCAGATCAATGTGTACCTTAGATCTCACAGCAAAGACAATGCCTGTAGCCAATGCTGTAATAAACTAGGAAAAAGACCTGAGAATTATTTACAGGTTAAAGCAAGCAGACATGTACACACACACATGAATTTCAGTCTGAATCCTAAGAGAGACAGAGTTGTAGCGATCTGTCAATTCAAAGTGTCGTTCAGGGCAGATCCAGAAGGTAGTCACTGGAGATCGCTGGCTTCAGTTTGGTATCTCTGGCCCTGGGAGAGTTCAAACAGCAAAGAGATGGAAAATTTTCCTGTGTCTTTTATTTCCTTCTTTCAGCCTCCCAGTCCCAAGGACAACTTCCTTGCAGGTAGCATTTCCAAGGTGCAACAGGGCCTATAACCAATCCTTTGTAGTGCGATATTCCTTGATGGCCAATCTGATTTTGATAGTCCTTCTGGATGGGCAGGGGGAAACACTCTTCCCATCTGAATTCACAAGTTCAGAGCAAACATTTTCAAAGTTATAAAGCAAACCTTACATATTGCCTTATAGCATGGAATACAGACATTACAGGTGAGATTAATCCAAGCAGCAACATGCCAGCATTTCAGAGACTCTAAACCCTAAATACATTCTTATAAGACTACTACCTGTTTTGAGCAACACCACCACATAAGTGAACTGGTCGGATTGCCAGCTATGAGTTTGTCAGTTCCTAACTAATGCCTGCAGCCTGAGCAAGAGCTGGCACCTGGCCTGCCAGGGACACACGGGAGCCTTCGTTTGTTATATGTGTGTAACGCACTTTGCAAAACGGGGCCTTGATCTTTGAGTGGCACCTCTGGGTGCTACTGCAATATAAATAATAATTTACAAAGCTAGGAGAGCTACGTAGCCTTTTCTTGTAATGTCCCCAAAGTCAGCCTAAAGCACCAGAGTGCATTCGTTACGAGACTCTGCTACATACAACTTAGAGTATGTTCCGTTTCTAGAAGCCTGTGACAAACGTTAGCTTGTTTCTGAAATAGCATGATTCTTGTTTGAATCCAAGCCGACATGTCGAGCCCTGGCCCTGAAGTATGTTTTAATAGGCAGAAATTCCTTTGGAAACCACTTGCGTCGGTGTTAGAATGACCAGGGCATCAGCATCTGGGAGCAGCGAGCGTTTTATCTGGGAATTCTTGACTTGAACTCAGGAGCTAGGCATGATGGGTCTGCCACACACAAAGCGGTCAGAGATCAGGGGATGGGGAGGGTTCGATGGGTCCAATATCTTCCACCAGGAAAATAATTTCCTGTTGGATTTGATTTCATAAGAGATGAATGCTGAATTGTACTCCAGGTGTATCAAATTAGCAAGATAGCACATGTCCCTTCTACAAAAATATCGAAACAAGTTCATGTCATTTGCTTCTTAGGATACTTGCTTGTTTGTACATGTTCCGTTTTGTGTATTTGTACTTAAACCACTAAATTACCCTGAAAATCAGAGGCCCCTTTATTGCAAAATCAGCAAGCACTCATCTCAGCACTTTTCTGCAGCTGCTTCTAGAGATGAATTTTAGAAATGTGGAACAACAGTGCACAAGCTCATCATTCGGCAAACTCCCCCTTACCCCCCATTTCTATTTGATTTAAACCAATTGACTTTTCGAGGGAAAAGGAGGGAAGAAATTCTGCGAAGGATCCCACAGAAACAGAACTGTCTTCTTTAATTCAGCACAGTTGCAACACCTCAATCTGAGAAAGAGGCAGGAAATGAGCTACAGCTGAGATCAGTCTCTCCTCTAAGTATTGTGCAAGGCCTCTTCTAAAAGGTTTTCTAAAAGTGGGATCCTTTTTTTCAAAAGGAAATTATTTCATTTAGCCATAAATGCCTGAAAAACATCACAGATGTGCAGTGTAATTGTAGTTTCTGTGCAGAGTTACTGCCTTTAATGAATTATAATTAATCTTGAGCTGGTGAAAGGTGCCAGACAGACAGTGCTAAATACTGAGATCCTCTGTTTTCCCACAAAATGAGGACACCGCGGGCAGCAGCAGCGCAAGATTCCCCCACATGCTTCCCAGCCAATGTCCATCAAAGAGGCCACCTCACAGCTGAAGGGCAGAAGCTCAATTCCTTGTCTATGCTGAGGACATGCTTCAGCCGTCGGTGGCCAGCAACTGCTGCAGCTGCTCTAATGCAAACCCTTAGAGCAGACAAGCAAAGTGGCCGATCCCAACAGTGCAGCTACTCCCGGTTCCAAGCAGAGGTAAGCTGCACCCAGGCAAATCATAGTTTTCCAGAGCTACAAGTTTGCATCTTTGCAGCTACACCAGTGGCTGGAATCGAGGCAAATCCACAGTGTAAACAAGGCCTTCATCTCTATGACCCTTCAAATCCTTAGAGAAACAATTGGGTGAGGTAATATCTTTTCTTGGAGCGATTCTGCTGGTGAGAGAGACAGGCTTTCGAGCCACCCAGAGCTCTTCCTCAGGTCTGGGAAAGGTACTTTGAGTGTCACAGCTAAAGGTGGAACAGATTGTTTGGCGTGAGTAGTTAGCACGTATGGTAACGGACCAATCAAGGTAGAGTGGCCAGTTAATACCTCTGCAGTCATAGGATAAAAGAGGGGGTTAGTGGGTTATAGATTGTTGTAATAAACCATAAATCCAGTGTCTTTGTTCAGTCCATGGTTTTCAGTGGTTTGCAAAGTTACAAATTTAAACTCCCAGGCTGGTCCTACCTTCATAGATCCAGTAACCACCCCAACCACACCAAGAAAATTGTTATCTACAGCCAGGCAAACAGATACCGTGGAATATGCTCTGAGGAGAAAGTCCTGGATACACCTTAACACACTCAAAATCACCTTCACCAAACAAGGATGCTCTACCAGAGAAGTAGATCCCATCATGGAATGGGCTACCCAAACACCCCAAGAGAACTTGCTTCAATACAGAAATAAACCCCACTCTGACCGCACAGCCCGAGTTGTCACTGTGACGTTGCACTCCATATGTTTTATGGAAATATGTTTATAGGGGTGAATATGATGTAACTGGAATATGCTTTGTGCAAAAGGTCTCTTGTAAGGTATCATTACAAAGCTTATAATCTACTGAATATATCCTATTTGTATGAATGTATCATTCATGTATCTGAAACTAGAAATATGAAGTATAACTCTGAGGTCCTATTGTAATTATGCAAAGTGTGAGCCATTAATGGTGGTTTAGAATCCTGATGGCTCTGTTTACTTGCAAGGACAATTGGTTGTAAATGGCTCTGTTTACTTGCAAGCCTTCCCGTGTAGTGTAGCCCAGCCAGTGGGTAATGAAGAAGGAGGTCTTACAGTGACATGTGACCATGTCACCTGATACTGGAATCTATCTTAAACCTGGTGCTTTTCCATTCAGAAGGAGGGGTGGGGACCCAGAGAAACAAAGGATTCCCGCCTTGTGTCAAAGAGATAAAAGGAGGTGGAACAGGACAAAGGGGGCCAGTCATGAGAAAGCTCCTGTTTAACACCTAAGATGTCAGCTGGAACTAACAAGGGCTGTACCAGGGGAAAGGATTGGGCCCAGACTAGGAAGGAGTCTAGTCTGTGAAAGAAACTTATTGGAACATCTCTGCGGGTGATATTACTAGTAATCAGTTTCTTAATGTACAGTATTAGGCTTAGACTTGCACGTTTTGTTTTATTTTGCTTCGTGACTTACTTCGTTCTGTCTATTACTTGAAACCACTTAAATCCTACTTTTTATATTTAATAAAATCACTTTTGTTTATTAATGAACCCAGAGTAAGTGATTAATACTCGGGGGGGGGGGGGGCAAACAGCTGTGCATATCTCTCTATCAGTGTTATAGAGGGCAGACAATTTATGAGTCTAACGGATTTATTTGGGGTTTGGCTCCCATTGGGAGCTGGAGATAGGTACTTGCTGAGCTGTTTTCAGTTAAGTCTGCAGCTTTGGGGGCGTGGACCAGACCTGGGTCTGTGTTTGTAGGTGGCTAGCATGTCTGGCTCAACAAGGCAGGGAAAATGGGCTCAGTCCCAAGCTGGCAGGGAAAATGGGCTCAGAGGTAATTTCAGCATGTCAGGTGACAGTACCAAGGGGTATTTGTGACCGAACCTGTCACAGTCACCTACCATCCCACACTGGAACCCATTTGG